TTATTCGTCCACATAAACGCAGTAAACATATCAAACTGTATTCCATCCAGATGTACCGTAGGCATTCTCCATGATGGCATGCAGGCAAATCTACTGTGATCATCCTTAATGCCATCAAATGACCACCACTACGCCACGGAGAAAGATTCACAACCATAAGCCAGAGTCCGGTCTGAAGCGCCAGGGAGAGCGAGGGCAACCCGACCTGTGTTGCACTGACTTCAGTGGCGAGTAACTCACACCCTGTCAGTAAGTCCAAGATGATCCTGATAAAGGTGTTGTGACCCACAACATCCTGATATGTTCCTCTGCTACAGTACTCTCTACTGTAAGCCATGACAGTGACTCACAATACAGCATTACACTACTCTGGTAATGAAAACCAAACATTAACTGTCAGGTACACCTCTCTGATGAAAATATTTTCCTGCCTAAGGTGTGATTCAAGCACCAACAGTGACAGCACTCTTATGTGACTGAAATAGATGAAAAAACTGAAGCAGCATAAAAAAAAACAAGTGCTACAAAAGCTAATCAAGTGCAACACTCAAGAAAATAAAGCATCACACAAACATGTTTTCAAACAAATTGTTTGTTTCTTCAGGACACAAGCTTCCATAACTTTCACTGTGTTTAACGCCAGAACAACAGCATCACATTTAGAAACACAAACTGCTCAGTGCACACAAAACACATTCATTTATTACAATATAACACATTTGAATATTGTAAACTACTTTTACACCCGCCTCTAGCTCCATCGCAGGCTGGGAGTCCGACTCTTCTAGCTGTTCTGATGCTTCATAAGGTAACTTACACCGTTTGCCTCATTTCATACTGCAGGCTACAGCATGTACTTAACACCCAGGATCATCTAAAGTCAAATGGAGATGTATACACAACCAACACTCAACTCTGACTAATCATGGTTATTTGCATTTTTAATTTGCATTTGCATGTGCAGGTGTGTTGATTAGGAATCGGTAATGAGAAGGAAGTTCTTATAAAAATATTAAATTAAAGGCAAGTGCTGTTTCTGTCCTGGAGAAAATATTTTTCTAGCATCATTTCCTACATTAACCACATAGATAGTTCAGAGTGACATGAGTGTTACAGGCCATGCATCATTAACAGTAATTAAACAGTTTACAAGGCTCAGAGTTCTGGGGGGAAAATGCTCTACAGGTGATATGAATTTATGAACAGTGCCTTTATGCCTGTCAGACTGATTAGGATGAAATAACATTCCATAAAGCTACATGGCCTGTACAGAGGTGACCCACATCTCCAAAGGGCAAGTCTCTCTATCATAAAATTTTGCTGCACTCTGAATGTCGGGAGGAAACTACTCACACTGCGACGTCACATAAATTTGTGCCGTTATATTAACACCTATGGGATGAGCCTGTATTTCAGCAGCTATTACAGTAAGACAGTTTTTCACAGTGATGAAAATTCAGAAGAATTACAATGAAAAATGTAAACATAAGATGCAAAACCTAACACAATGCAAATGTACTGTATATCCTCAAGGTACAAGGAATTCCATGTTCTGCTATTCTGTGAATAGACTGTGCAGTTTTTCTCTTTTGGTGCCTACTACTTTGACTTTGTAATACTTTGATGAATGTGTTTTCACAGCTGAATAAGGTGACTGCCTGACTCAGAGACAATGTGGCAGAATCCACGGGTCTTTCTGACAGCTCTGTTCGGTTTAGAAGGAAACGGGAGACTAGAAACTTGCACATTTCTTTCTTTTCACCCGACTTCTCTACTCCATACCAATTCAATTTAATATAAATATCACAGCTCAAACCAATTTCTGTCAAGATGGTCTTCCTAACAGAGTATTAAAGTGGGTCTGCTTCCTCTCTTTTGTTTTATGCATTTATAAAATCATCTTTTTGACATATTATTGTATGGGTGAAGGGGCCAATTCTGCAGTATGGTAACATGGAATATGTGCACCCCACCTCCATTGCCCTTTATTTCATGCCTGATTTGTCTACAAGCACACAGCATAGCTTTAGGCTTGTTTTCCAACCATAGGTGTCAGAAACGGCGCGCGATGCTGCAGAAAAGTATTTAGTGAACTCAAATAAAAGACCAGACGAGGAAGTGTTGAACAAAACCGTCTCTTTAATAAGAGAACTAAAACTAAACTAAACCATACAAGACAAGGTGAAACGCAAAACTCACGGTCGGTATCAGTCCCAGGTCAGAGCCAGCAAACACATACATCCAGGGTATGACTGCACGATATTGGAAAAACATGCGATATGCGATACAGGTGTTGAATATTGCGATATCAATATTATTGCGATATTTAATATTCCCCTGAAGAAATTGTATTTTCATTATCTAATCGAAGAAATACACTTTAATGTGGCAAAATGCGCAGGCTATATGTATTCTGATCGAATTAATTGTAATTCAGGCTAACTATTATGTGGCGCGAACAAACTTCACAAATACTACTGCATACCTGTTGTAACAAAAACTAAAAAGATAACACTGCATTATTAAATTAAATCACTATTTCAACTGTCACTCTAATGAAACAAAACAATTAAGAGCTTCATAGTCATCAAATTATTTCAAATCACACATTATGTTAAATTTACAAATCTCATGTTAAATATGTGCATTTTTCAACAAAATATAAACCATAAACACTCACCAATGGCCAGATGCAAGCGGTGGCCAAAGCACTGTAGTCTGACCCACTTGTTGAGTTCGGTAGCTTTTACTACATTAGCGCCGTTGTCTGTTGTAATAGACACTTGTTTCTCTTCTTTCAAGCCCCAGTTTGCTAAAACATCCTGCAGAGCAGTGGCTATGTTTTCACTGGTGTGGGATTCAGGGAAATATGCAACTTCCAGGCAGCGTGTTGTTAGTTCAAGTCTTTGCTGATAAAGTGAACAGTAAAGCTCATGTAGGGTTCGGTGGTGCGACTGGACCACAGGTCCGTGGTGCTAGCGTAAAAGTCCACTTGCTGCAGCTCAGCCTTTACAGTCACTACACATACCTCGTACATTTGTGGAATGGCGACTTGGGAGATTTGTGGAATGGCGACTTGGGAGAAGTAATTGCGCGATGGCACTTGGTATCTCCGGTCCACTTCCTTCATTAGATCCAAAAAGCCCTCTTTGCCCACGGTACTAACTGGGATCATGCATTTGGCTACATAACGTGCAACAGCTGCGGTAATAGCTTTGTGGCGCTTCGATGTTTTTTCGTAAGGAGTGACACTGGCAAAACGTTCATTAATGGTTGTCTGTGGATCGTTTTTTTGTAACCTGCCCTCACGTTAGTAGTTTTGGGAGTTTTAGACTTGAAGACATCATATAGGTTTTTGTGGTTCCGCTCCATGTGACTGTGTAGATTTGTTGTGTTTCCTCTCGACGTTGCCACTATTTTCCGACATGACTTGCACAGTACCTGTGTCTGTGCTACGTCTTCTCTCCTGAAGCCGAAATAATCCCGTATTTCAGAAGTGCTATTCTTTTTGGGCACAAGTTCGTTGTTTTCGTCCTCGCTCATTTTCTCTTCTCCCGCTGCTGCTGCTGTGAGTCACTGTGCGCATTTGGGTCCGCTCTAGCCAATAGGAGAACAGTATCTAGGGGGGTGGATGGCTGGGTGCGTTATTAAGGTCGCGTCTGATTGGTCAAACTCAGATAAACACCAAACATGTGCAACAAACGCATAAAATACTATATGAAATTATTAATTTATCGCACGTCTTTGCGATACGCATATCGCACATACTATTATCGCGATAACGATATTTTTTCGATATATTGTGCAGCCATAATCCAGGGGAATCCAAAGTTCGTTTTCCAAAAGGGAAAGTCCGATAATCATACACCGTGGCAGTCCGTAACAAGAGGGCGAGGCAGAATAGAATAGTCCAAGTTAACAGTCCGGGATCAGAAATACAAAATACCAAAACCGAAGAAAATGCTGGAAAGTCAGAGCTGGGGTCTAGAACAATCTGACAGCGTCCTGGTGGGAGGACGCTGCCTAAATAGAGGTGCAAACAATAACGAAACCAAATGTGAGTGATGAAGAACGTAAAAAGACCGAAACTAAGGTAAAACAAAAACAGAAGTAATGTCAAAATAAAAGCCGGACAGGAAGCAGCGGAACCGAATCATGACAATAGGTGCCACTTATGCAAAATCATCTGAGCTCAGTAATCCATCACAGAAATCATGAAGCTTTAAGTAGCTGTGTCATTGTTTCTCTGATCTATTACTATGACTGCAGAGCACCGTCGCCTCATAGCAAGGAGGTTCGGGGTTGGAGCCCCGTCCGACCCGGGGCCTTTCTGTGTGGAGTCTGCATGCTCTCCCTGTGCCTGCGTGGGTTCTCTCCGGGTACTCCAGCTTCCTCCCACAGTCCAAAGACTTAGGTTGACTGGCGACTCTAAATTGCCTGTAGGAGTGAGTATGAGTGTGTGGTTGTGTGCCTACATGTCAGCCCTGTGACAGACTGGTGACCTTTCCAGGGTGGACCCTGCCTCTCGCCCACTGTCAGCTGGGATTGGCTCCAGGAATAAATGGTGTAGATAATGGATGGATGGATATTATTGGTTACTGTCTATTATGTTATACTGTATTTACTGTCAATCATCCCACACTCAAAGGAAGAAATGTTAGAAGTAGAAGTAGTCCTCTAATGTATGTCAGTGTGTAAGTTCACCATCTATGTCCTTAGTAAATGCTTAGTTTGTGAGTTACACTGCCACCAGGAAGAAATATTTCATTATGGCAGAACAAATGATTATATTGTATTTTTGTGAATTGCAGCTGAATAGTCATTAAAGTTCAAGCAAAAGTTAAGAGTGACCACACACACTGCACCGCCACCCACACGGTGTGATGTTTTTTTGTTATTACTAGAAAGTCCAAAGACAAACCTAGGATTGAAACTATCATGTTTGGACTTAATAGTTTCAATAAAAAATAAATACAACAAAATTAAAATTGCATTCTTACCAAGCGTCGTCTTTCCTCTTCAACAGTGTTCAATAGCTGGGAGAACTCTTTGAATGACTGGGCTGAAATACAAAGACAGTGATCATTTCTTCAGAAGGTGAAATACTGAATGTTTGCTAAATAAATGCACCAGCATGTATGATACATAAAGTACAATATGTTCACCACCGAACAAGTACACAGAGAACCACTGTCTTGCTGCATTAGAATGATAAAAAAGATATTAAAAAAACCTAAGAGGCTCAGTCGTTAAAACTCAGATGTTCCTGGCACCCCACCATCAATGCACATTGGTGCTAAAATGTTTATTTGCACTGCAGCTTCAGAGCTGTCAGTGCAGCACATTTTAGAACCTAATAAAATCATGCAGCTGTCCAATTTAAAACCAGGACTAGCAGTAAAAAACAATTCTCCAATTGAATGGAACCCACTGATTGCTTCTCTTCATTTTCTTCCCTGCTAGGCTTTAAAACACACTGTCACAATGCAGAGGAGACTGATGTGGTAGAAATACAGTATGTTCACGCCATCTGGGCTATACTTCAGTAGGTATTCTGCAGGGCCAGATGAGCTCAGCATACAATACACTGAACCTTATCAGCCAGAGAAGTGTGCCTTGATAGCTTCACAGCTTCATTAAAAAGAAGGCCAGATACAGCATGGCCCCTGTTGGTCAGCCCCTGTGTCACCCTGTGTCTAGCCATTTAGCAGCGGTCAGACTGCTCTGCTTGCCAACACAGTAATATCATTATCAGCCGCGATGGCCTGGCATGGGGACTCATGCATCATCTTAGACACTTTGGTCCATTTACACACCAAAGCTTTAAAAGACCATGGAGCGATGATTTTGTGCCAGCAATCTAGCAGGCAGGCTGGTCCCCTATTAACGCCACCAGCTCCTTTATCAGCAGCACAAACCTCTCGGGGGGGTAAAGGGCACAGCTGGAGCTGTTGATGGGACAAGATTATACTCCGAAAAGAGGAAATGGAAGTCAAAGTGAGGTTACAGCTTGCATATCATTCACTGGTAAACAGAGGAATGGCAATCGACTTGATGAGTCACTGAATGAATTCAAATTTACTACCTCAACAAAGGACAAATGAGAAAGATGAGCTTGTATGAAAACAAGAAGAGGAACTCACTGTACACGGACATTTTTTCTGCATATTATAATAAGATTTCTATATTTATTTACATTAATTTTATCTTTTTACAGATGCTTTTCTGCTCAGTATCCGACTTTTTTGGTCTATTTGAGCTCATCTGACTCGTTCCACCCGAAAAGGCTCTGAACAGTTCTTTGACACTAACTGACTGACCTTCTGAGAGAAGGCCATGTAACTTTTGTAATAATTTAAATTTCCTAGCCACATCAATCTTTTCGTCCAATTGATTCGTAGATGGAACTGGTATGGAATGTGAATGTCACTGCAGAAGTCATAGAGTGAAATCAATAAAAGGTCAGGTGAACCTTTCTGGCAGCACATAGAGGATCCCGAAGTTATGTGAGGAAGCTGCGAGCATCAAAGTGAACTATACCAATATTGCATCAAGATCATGGCTGGCATTCACACAAGGGTCTAGCTATGTCAGTCAGAAAGCTCAGTTTCATCGATGACTAGATTCATGTTAACAGGCTGTTTTCTTTTTTTCTTCACACAGTAATCAGTAATCTCTGAGACTGAGTGAACACAGCTTGGAGTGTGCGAAAATCAACTCGGACTCAACTCAAACATAGCTCAGACTTGACTCAGGCTAGAACACTGGGGACTCGAGACTCAACTTAGACTTGAGGTTTAGTGACTCGACTACAACACTGTCTATATTACACAAATTCTTTTAAACAGATGTCCTCGGTTCTGTCTGTCATCAAAGCCACTGGCTTCTACTGGGCCCACGGTTTGCCCTGTAAATACTGAGGAGTTCCAGACGCAACAGGTGGGCAGCTGAAAAACCTATTGTTCAATATGTGATCAAACCACTCTTGATTCAAGGCCAGGGAAGGGGCGCATTGCCTCAAATTAAAGTGTGCTTTACTTTAATGAGGCTTGGATTTGGGTGTGGATTTTTCCAATAAGCGTAATTGGTCTCCTGCACCCCTGCCCATCATACAGCCAACGCAGCTTTGTGAGAAAAAAGGGAAAACGGACTATTCATTACGCATTCAGATGAACATTACAGCTCACGTAGAGGAGGTCGATATCCAGTCTAGCCCTCACAGATGGACAGTAATTCAGCAGTCTCCAGCTCCAGAGCGAGGGGCTCAAACTGAGGATAATGAGCAGTGAGGAAAAAGAAGAGGCCAGAGTGGGAGTCCTGCCCATTAGAGCCAGAGAAGCCCTCTGCACAGCTGTTTTCATATTCCTGTTGGAGGCTAGGAGGTTCGCACCTCCATTAATCTCTGACACTGATTGCAATTAGTCCTTTTGATCTCTTATAGACAGAGGAAGCATCATAAACAAATCAATAGCATTAATTATACATGCATCGCAGACAACTTTAAGATGTATCCTCAGAGCCAAATCCCCTTTCAAGAATTTGCAGTGTGCTTAATTTTGTCTTAACACAGCTCACAAAGACTTTGATGACCCTTTTCTCTTCTCTTTTAATTACTTTCACAGATGTAAAATTGCTCAAAAAACATATTTTGAGTAATTGGTCCTTAGCCAACCCTTCTTAACCCTTCTAAAAACGTGTATGAGCTGCCAAAAAAATCTAGAAATACCAAAGAAGCAGAAAGAAATCTGCCCTCCTGGCCAAACTGAACTTACCAATGTTCACCTCGTCATCTGTCTCTGCATCACCTATGCACTCAAACTGGAACTCCTGCAAGGACTGGGAGAACTTCTGGACGGCAGCAGAAAGATCTGGAAAAATCAGAAGATCAGAGCATAAGAATAAAGGACAACACAAATGAACGAAACACAGAAGACGTGGATAAAATTCTACTTGAATACAGCAACCTTAATGTACAGTAAACAATGTAACCTCCTTACATGACGCATATCCAGTACAGCCATGAATGAACTGCCTACTGTATTATACTGTTAGTAACATGGACAGGTGAGGTGTGGGTTACCTACTGACTCATATGGTTGTACCAGCATGTCAAGGAAACCTTTACATCACAGAACCTCCCAATTTAGCAAAAGGAGAATTAGAAAATCCTATTAGCACAGTTCATCATATTCACCAGCACACGTGTAGATTTAGAAACAAAGTGGTACTTTTGATACACTTGTACTGTAAACACAAGTCTAACAGAGAAGAAGCGCCATAGAATGCAGTCTTATGAGCTGCCAACTATTTGATTCAACATCCACTGACATTCATACACTCATAGTTCTGAGTAACCGCAAATACCTACTATATTTACCTTATCACTCGTCCACTGATCTCAATACTCAAATCTGTTCAGGAAAATTAAGCCCAGCTAGGCTGCCTAACCTTTGTGTCAAGAATGATATAGTGAGTAAATGCCTTAAGAAAAATCCACCTTTTGATATACTCACACTGCTAGATATACAGTTATTTATTTATTGCATTCCACTTGTGATAAAGTGCTGTCTTATCTATTTCAGAGTGGCATTTGAAAACCTCTAAAGAAAAGGCTTAAGTGTTTTCTATTCCATAACTTCTAACTCCAGCTGTAAAAAAACAAGTTCTGCCTTTTGTTCAAACCTTTACTGGTGATGTCTGGAAATACTGTCATAACTCTCCAATCATAAATTGTCTTTTGGCACTTCACATGTAATGACCGGATAATTTAACAATACAATGTGACTGTATTATGTCCATTATATCCATGTGTTACATAATGTATGTTTAAATGTTGTTCAGGAGAAATTATGGGGCTTTTTTGTCCAATAGTTTAGCTCTAAATACTACAACACCCATAAGCCCTGGTAAACACTGCTGTGGAGAAGACAGCTAAAGGTGCAAACCAGTCCAAGCATTTCCACAAAGCTTCAATGTGGCAATCAGGAACAAATCACAGCACCATAGCTCCTCAAGTGATCCAGATATTATCCAGAATCAGCAAGCGAATCAATTCAAGCTGCTGAATGTATTTAGACAGTCCTGCTTTCATCCTGCTTAGAGACACAGGCGACAGAGCTGTAGAGTCTGTGTAACACAAAAAGAACAGGCCGAGGACAACTGCTCACGTTTGTAGTGATAAGTCAGTAACAATGATGCATGTCCAGTCACGAATTAAAGGTAGTTTAACAGCTTCCAGAGAACTCTGTTTATGGAAAAAAGAATTACTAGGTTTTCATTTCCTGAACCCTGCAGGCCTATTATAAAACCTCCCACTTTGTTTACCTCCATGGAACAAAGTAAAACACAACACCAAAGCAACAAAATAGCCCTGAAATGACAGTTGTCTCACCTGATCTGCACTTAAAATTAAGGCATAACTGCTGAACTGCTCGACAACTGATTTGCTTTCCTCTCTGAAATAATATGCATCAGCTCAATGATAACCTCACTGCATTTGTGGGCAATAAATAGCAGAATCCCTTCTTTAATCATTGAGTGCATAATGACAGTGATTATTAGTTATGTCAAAGTAAGTTCCAACAACTACTGTATATCAAGACAAACAAAAGCACTACTCAGAGAGTAAATTAACATATGGATTGTAGTTTTAATACAATTTATAAATTAATAAAAACACAAACCTATTGTATAAAATGGCACAGAAAACAATCTGCATGCAGGTATGACTGGAAAGAGGATCTGATTACAGTCAGATTCACAAGTAAATCAAACACATTGGGAGGAAAAGCAAAGTAACTGTAGTACTGACCAAGTGAATGAACCACTTTATTTCATTTTTATTGTGCCAGTTGTTTCAGTTTGTCTCCTACCTCAGTTATATAGAGGTTAGTGTATGAGTATTGCGAGTACATTCTTGCTGAGGTGACGGTAACCTTTGTTTACAAGTACTTTAAAGAGTGGGATGAAGCTTCAGCTCCTAATGGAGGCTTTTAACACTTAATCATTCAGTCAAATTTATAATTAAAGGCACAACAAGACGGGGATTCTAAAATACCCTGACATTTTAGGTGTCAGCCCACACAGTTGGAACTGCACACAATTTCCTCATATCCATTGTTGACAGTGATTCACTAATTGCTTCTCTCCTTCTTTCTTCTCAGTCTTCACTTCAAACAAAAGTATAAGAAAATCCACACGGCGGTACAGAATATATTGTAGACGCTCAAATTCATGTCTTCATTTGACGGAAGACTCACCACTTACTGTGTATGAAAAATGGAGATTAAGGTTGTTACATATTTTACTTTGCAAGTCTGAGCTTCAGCTTTAAAGGTTTTTTTCACAGCTTGTAACTACATACAATAGTGTACTGTATGAATATGTACAGTTACACATGCTTATCATACTGTACGAACTTCATATTCTGGTGTTATCATCTACACTTTAGCTCCATAAGATGGAGATGATATCTAACAATGTTGAATACAGCAACTACAAAATGAAAAGCTCATTGTAATATATTGTTCAAATAAAAACTGTAATGTCATTTAAAAAGACAAAAGCTGTCAGAAAATGACTAACCTTTGAATCTCTAATGTTTGCTAGAACTGATCTGTTTAAGGTAATGTTTAACAGTTCACAACAGATTTCGGGTTGGGCTCTATACAGCTCCTACTGTGACAACAAAGCTTTATCTAACCGGCATGCAAAAGTATCAACCAGCCTTAAGAGCCCACAAAAATCAATGCTCTCGTCAGCACAGGAACATAACTCGCTTGTGAAGCCTGGTAAAAAGAATTGTGTGATATTTGTCAGTATCTTTTAGAATACACCTCAAGAAGCATTGTTATAATTTGTCAGTGCATTTTAGTTATCGCAGGAACAGAATAACAAGACCTGTTCTCAATGAGACCACAGTTTTTAAAGCTCTTACTGACATCAACACCATCTTGAAAGCGAATGTCTGGCCATTTGTAAATGTTGCCAAGGCCGCCCTGAGCGGACCTTTAGAGAATGTTGTGTGCCAGTGATGTGCTCCCATCATTCTTGCTTCGACTCTGAAGCTGCTGATTTGAGATCAATACTAGGTGCAGTTGTCTAGATGCGCTCGCAGAACCATCAATAATGGATGTTCTTTTAGTTCTGACATAAAGACAGGCCCCAGCCTCACAAGACAAATCTGTTGCCCTCAACTGAATTCACTGTTTTCTTAGAACCAGCAAAAACCATGGAAATGAGTACACCATATAAATAAATCAAAATCAACATCATCATCAGATTTTTGCTTTCATTGTAATAAGTCAGCGGCAGCAGCATACAGTCATACTATCTATAATGTGTCTAATGTGGTCTGATGATTCTTCATTACTCATTCTATAAACTACTATCATTTTGTCAACACAACAAACAACTGCTTTGTGCTAAGACTTAACGTTTGAGAAGCCGGAAAACTTTTGTTTTTTGAAAAACATATATTGGAGAAATTCCTTATTGATATTTCTGAAAGGTACCAAAAAAATGCTGGCGAGAATGACTCTAATACACTTTGACAATAATTGTGCCTAATTACAACATGACTATAATCTATTAGTCTAATGTTCAGAGGCTTCTGCATCTGTTTATTGTTTACCAGGTTTAAAAAGCCTACTAAACATAAGAGAATAAATCATATTTTTGATCAAAATGTCAGTTTCACTCATTTTACCTGAAAAACATGCACCTGTACGCAAAGGTATGAACCACTTTTATGAGGCTGTGTGAATGCAGGTCATTTGCTTACAACTGTAATTCAGCCAACACTAAGAAGACACCGCTTATTCCAGGATAAAACCTAAACCTAAAGCTAAATGGTGTTTGCCTCTCTAATTTGTGGTAAAATCTGAGCACCTTCTCATTTTAACAAAGGGAAATAATGATTATTTTAGCATTTATCATTAGTATTTAACAGTTACAGCAGCGATCTGTGTCAAAGGCTCACGGGAGATGTGGTTGACACAGCTGCTGGAGCCCAAATGTGGGACAGGTTTAGTTACGTCTGCCAAGGGAGGGGGTTATGTTTGTTGGTTGGTTTATGTGGGTTGTGTTCAAATTAATTCAAAGGAATTATGTGTCAGTGTGAACGTCGTTCAAACATGATTTTTGGGATAAGAGACAGCCCTACTATAGAGCAGTAACGAGGGAGCGACACTGTCACAAAAGAGAACTGCATGTTGAATTTTCTGAGGCTGGTGGAAAGTTTAAAAAATGCTGCATATGTTTGGTGTTAAATGTGAGATCAGCTGAAAGAGAGCCAAGACAGGCTGCAGAAGTCTGATTGTGGACTAAAAGGTGTACAGAACATCGAAATGTTGAAGGCTCACCTGGAGGAGGCACGTCGTGACCTCCTCAACTCTGAAAATGCAACTGCAAGTCTGAAGGCCAACATGAAGCAAGGAACAAACAATGCTGCAACTGTGAGGACGCCTCAGTCCACAGGAGGTACTCAGACTAATGACAGGGATATCTCTGAACCAGCTCCGCAGCTGCAGGAGGCTCCTGGAGATTTGTAGAAGTGGCCAGACAAACTCCAGTTCAGTGTAGACAATACTCAGCATGCTGAGCAACAGAATCATGAGAAGGCATCAGTGTACAAGTGCCACAGAAACAAATAACTTCAGTTAAGTTCTTCATGTTTGTGACATTAAATGCAAGACCCAATCTGATGACTGGAGGGAGGCACAGAGACTCAACCTCCAGCTGGAAAGGATTTGTATGTGGCTGCTGGAGTAAGCCCACAGTCTGAACGCAGTCCACAGGGACAAAGAGTAGCCAACTGAGCAGCTAGACAAGGCCACGGAAAGGCAGACTAGAGATGCTGCTGTTTCAC